CTACTGAAAAAAATATAAGGGCCTGACTCCATCTGAGGCCCTAGAGACCGCTAAACAAATGCTCACAGCACTGGCTACCAAGCTAAGGAAATACACTAGAGAAGCAGAGGCCAAGAAGATAAATGCCCTGTTCTCCAAAGAATAATCCAAGGTATACTCCCAACTGCAGTGCAACCACACAGTGACAGCAGAGCCACCAGCAACAGAAACTGAACAGTATTGGAAGAACATATGGGAGAAAGAGAAGACACATAACACCAGTGCAAAGTGGCTGCAGGACCTGAAAGCAGACCACAACAATCTCCCAGAACATGAAGCAGTCACTATCACAGTAGCAGAAATCCAACAGCGGGTCAAGAACATGAAGAGCTGGACAGCACCTGGCCCGGACATGATCCGCACCTACTGGCTAAAGAAACTAACAGCAGTGCATGAATGCCTAGCAGCACAGATGAATCAGCTGCTAGCAGCAGGCTCCCACCCAGTCTGGATAACACAAGGAAGGACAGTGCTGACCATGAAAGATCCCCACAAGGGAACAGCACCATCCAACTACCGGCCAATAACTTGCCTCCCCACAACATGGAAAGTCCTATCAGGCTTCATAGCCACCAAACTGCACTATGGGCCAGTATGTGAGCATAGCTCAGGAGGGCATAGGGAACAACACCAGAGGCTCAAAACACCAGTTGCTCATAGATAGAGCAGTCACCCAAGACTTGAGGTCTAGGCAGCCCAATCTGAGCACAGCCTGGATTGGCTACAGGAAAGCCTGTGACTCAATGCCCCACACATGGATCTGTGAATGCCTGGCACTATACAAAGTCAACAGGACACTAAGGACCTTCCTCAAGAACTCAATAGGACTGTGGACGACAACACTGGAAGTCAACTCAAGACAGCTCGCACAAGTGGCCATCAAGTGCGGCATATGCCAAGGTGATGTACTGTCCCCACTGCTGTTCTGCATAGGCTTAAACCCCCTCAACCAGACAATCACAAGGACTGGATACGGGAACAAGTTCAAGAGTGGAATCACA